TAAGAATGTTGTAGGAGAGGTCTTCCCGAATCGGGTGTCGCGACCCCGTGGGGCGGTGCGTAACGATTGTTAAGGGTCGTGAAGAGTACACTAAGTACTATATTAAACTTAAATATAGAAACGATTCCGAGAAGCGGTGCGCTTGCAAAACAATGCGGACTTAACAGAACTCGCGGAAAGTTTTAATATATTGGAAGAGTTTAAAAGTTTGGGAAGTCCTGTTATAGGATTTATCACATATGCTGTTAAAAATAATAAGCTTCATTTAATTGATGAGGTATTCAGTTATTTGCAATTCAGTGGTCGCACTAACTCATAGTCTCTTCACTCTTAAACGAGTGCGCGTTATTATATTCCGAACAAATTCACTTTTAATATTCAAAAATGCGTAGTACGGGATCGCGCTTGTTATCAGAAATTGTACACTTTATAAGCGTATTCAGATCTTTCTTAACTTCTATATGTAGAGTTCATTACTTCATAGATGTTTCCATGATCTTTTTGAGTTCGATTTTTTTTTTTCCTGGAACTACTGTAATGAAAATAAATTTGAATTTATGAAATTTAACAAGACGAAGTTTCTGCGCAGGAATATCGGTTTACATTCAAGAGATATTCTTCGTCGCCCGTGCTGTGCTAATACTATTCAATTTTTTTAAATCAATCAAAACAATTTTTGTTTATTCTTGAATATATTACCAAAGTAAGTCTTTAAAATAAAAAATAAAAAGTAAATTAATTTAGATGTGAAGTATCATCCGCGCGGCGTGTGAAAATGCTAATTAATTTGCGAAAATCAATCACAATTTGCTATTTCTGAACATGTGACTAATGTATATAGATGTCGAAAACTTCAACGCTAAAATTATTTTAAAAATAAAATATGTTTTCGATTTCTCGGTGATGTTACAAACAGATTATTTACTAAGCTTTGTGTGATCCAATCATTGGATTATGTCGTCAGAAAGAAAGGTCATAGTTGACTGAACCTCATTCCGAGATTAGCTTTGTCTCACATATTTCCGAAGCTGAGTGTCAATCATAGGAAATTCAAGTCGGCGCGAAAATTTGGATTAGTTGGTATTTTTAACGTTTTTTAACTATCCATTATAACGCCCTGTAGCGCTGGGCTAGAAATGACAAGTCAATGTTCTATGCACCGAATTTTCTGAAAAGATAAGTGGACAAGCGTACGGTATATGGTCAGTCGTAACAGAATAAAAAAAAAATACACCTGTAACTTACGAGGAAATTTGGAATCAAATAAAACTGCTAAAAAGGGACTTTTTCTATTTTCGAGTACTGAATTTGAAATAAACTGATACATTAGTTGTGAACAAAAAAAAATTTTTTCTCTAACAAGAGTATTGTAGCAAAGCAATCCAAATTTATGATCCAGGTCTGAAATTGAAGGAAACTGCGCGATAAGAATCGCTAGATCCACGGGGCCATGACCAGTATATTCCACAGCTTTTTTTATGGGTGTGTTTCCAATTTTAGGTGATGGTAGTTATTTTGTTATTAGTGATAAAACTATTTGTAACTTATAAAAATGTGTTATGTATTTGGCTGATCATATGCACTGGCTGATGAGCCAATTTCTGGATATTCAAAAACAATTTTATTTATGTTAAGAATTTAAGTATGATGTCACACCTGAAAATTAGGGGGGTGTTTGGTGTTTGAAATTTTCGGGGGGGGGGGGGGGGTGTAGGGAAATTATTGCCTGGGACCAATTGTGATGAGATATAGGCTTAGCGGCGTATGTGTTTTGTGATATTGATCGGACCACAAAAAGCTTAAAATCTTATACCATCGGATTCTATTTTTAATCTGCAATGATTTTCCCTATCATATTTGATTTATCTGTTTATTACTTTTTTGTCATTTCACGGAGTAAATATTTACGTGTTTGAGTTGCGAGCACAAAACCTTAGCTTTAGGTTCAGTCTGATTCTCAAATATAAAGCGTCGTCGTTAATAGAAAACATCACTATCACGACTGTTATGACTTCACGGATGTGCTAGTAAATACATAGAATAAAGCCCGAACGCAATGGTTCTCAAACGGTGAAACTAATTAAAAATAAAAATATTTCTTAGATCTGATCTTGTCCGCCTTATTTTGGATATTTACATTTCTTTATTTTGAATATTTAACGTATTTCAACCTTTTTTTTAATATAACATAGTTTTGCTTTACTATCTGTTATTTGTAGCTTATTGTTAACAAATTATTTTTGATAAATTTGAGACTTGACAAATTCTAAAAAGAGGGCGCTATCTGAAAAGTTTTAGAACCGATGATATTATGTGAGTGTGTTTCAAGACACAACAGCGAATGTGGACACTTCAAAAAAGTTTCGAGCTGCCGCTGACATGCTAATGCAGACATGGGCAGATTACGACGGCACGCGGGGCAAATCCGGCCCGTTGGGTAATTCAATCTGGCCCGCCTGATGCTGCCACAACCAAACTAAAACCAAATTTTGATATTTTAGGTAAAAATAACTCAAGGAATTTGTTGAGATTGTGATTAAATTTAGTTTTGGCACGAGGCTTATTGTTTTCCACTGTTGCTTCTGTAACACTGTAAATATTGTTCATGAGATGTAACTTTTTACGTCGCACTCACATGGCCCGCCAGTCTAGATGGGCAAAATATTTAGCCCCTGGCTCAAAAACCTTGCCCACCCTTGTGCTAATGGATATATATGCGATGCAGATGTTAGTAAAGAGCGTTTGGCCGAGAAATGTTTCGAAAAAATGCGCAAGATAAAACGGTGCTTTACGAAATGTCTAGATCAGGGCTACTCAACTATTTTTATCGAAGGTCCGCAAACAAAACTTCAAAATTATTTGGGTCCGGTCTTTCCAGAAATGATATTTCGGCATCCTCAAACGAGCACTTCCTCGAGCGACTAATGATTGGTAGCAAATTAAAAGTGTTTATTATGGTGTTATAGTTCTTTTCGTATACATTCAAAACTATGAAAGTCATTTTATAATAGGAAATTCAAAAAGTGGGGCTAATGATCCAAAATAAATAATTAGGTGCGGTCCAAATCCAATACTAGAAAGGTCCGGATTCGGACCGCGGTCCGCCAGTTAAGTAGCCCTAGAAAATCTTCTTTCGCTCGTCGAGAAAAAAGTTCTCGGTAAGACGGTAACACAAGGTTGAAGCGCCCCGAAATTTATTCGAAACAAGAGATGAGAATAAACGTACGCAGCGAGATACTTGGATTTCGTTTCTGATATAGCATATCGCGTTTCTCGCTTAGCGAGGATAAATTTCTAGATCGGTCGAGGTAAACAGCACTACGATAGCCACTCAGACAGTTTAGTCAAGGCGAGCGAAAGTCCGAACGCTAACTTCTTGAATATTCGATTTTGATAGCAAGTGTATTATGACTTATGTGTCTAATTAGGTGCTTGCATGTACCCTTTGGGGCTCCCGAAGTATATGTACCAAGATGACGCACAACCTGGCCATAGTATGTGTACCAGGTTAGGGTTCAGGTTGTGCGTCATCTTGGTACACATACTTCTGGAGCGCCGGGACTTATACGGAACGAGAATAGTAATCTGTTTCATAGACTTGATTCACATTTCCTCATGCGCAGTTTTGATTTCGCCTAAGATGGACTTGTCTGGAGCTTTTTACGGAGTGGGCATAAAGATTATAATTACTGGTGTATTATGGTAATTCGACATTTGTAAAGTTACGCATGAGTAATCCAATTATGACAGATGAATAATGAATAACTATATATAGCATGTGCAGTAAAAACTTCGCCTTATTAATACATGGTAGAACTTCGCAAAATATGATTGATATGACATTCGGGATTTAAGAATTATGTAACCTCTGGAATTTGGCGTTTTTTTTGCAAAATTCTGCAATGTATGGGCACATGTATTTTGTGCTTAGATGCAGCGTGTTTTTATTTTAATCACATACCTTGGTGATTAGATTTATGGTACAAATTTTGGCGCTCCAGAAGTATGTGTACTAATAGGCGGTAACTAATTTTGTTCGTCTATTTACATCAAGTTGTGTAAGGCGACTGAAACCTATGGGCAGGGGTTATATTCACTTGGTTAACACATAATAGAATTAAAATAAGGAAAACTGGACTAAAATTATGGCTTAACCCTAACCTACACATACCTACACATAACCCTACACATACTACGGGAGTATCGAAATTTTTGCTGTGTTCTTCCCCAGATCTATATGTTTTCATATGCTTGGCAGTGTAGTAAAAGTTCATTTCTTTGATACTCAAGTCTTCGACAAGACTTTGCAGCATACGTATCGATGAATATTAACTCCAAACTGTAAGATCGGGCCATGTATGATTTACCCCGACTTTTTATTTACTCCGGGTTATTCATGTGACGTTAATACTATAAATGTGATAGATGACTCCACGACAGTAGGGAGGGTTTTAGAGTCTTGTTTTATGTTTGCAGGATTTGTGTATTTTGCAAACAAACACGTTTCACGAACAAATTTTTGTAAATTCGTGGGAGAGATGGCTTAGTGCAAGGATTGGCTAGGTTTTTGAACCAGTTGACAACAATATTGCCCACCTAGACTGACATGCCATGTAAGTGTGACGTAAAAAGTTACATTTTATGAACAAAGTTTTACAAAAGCAAAAGTGAAAAACTAATAAGCCTCGTGCCGAAACTAAATTTCATCGCAATCTCAGCAAGTGAGCTATTTTTTTTAGCTAAAATATCAACATTTGGTTTTAGTTTGGCTGTGGCAGCATCAGGGCCAGATTGAATTACCCAACGGACCGGATTTGGCCAGCGGATCGTAGTTTACCCATGTCACCCCTTTATTCCATTCCGTATACGATTTTGGACAAGTTTTGTCTGGACAATAATAGAGCCTGGTAACGCAATATTACAATATGGGAACAACATATACAATGTATTTCACTGAATTTCAGCAGCAAAAAATAATCTAGAAATATAATTGAATGCAAAATTTTTTTTTTTAGTGTTAAAAGCTATAATAAGTATATATATATATATTCAAGAGATCTTTATAAAAACAACATGGCCAGCACTGTCGCATCACGTGGAACAGAAAGACTCTCAAATGTGGAAACGCCAAAATCTGAAGGAGGAAGCCCGAAAATTACGAGAAAATTGCGCGGGAAAAGAGCAAAAATTGGCGGCAAAGTCGTTCTATCATGTGCAGCCAACGTTTGTGACGACACAAAGATAACGTGGTTCAAGAATGGCGCGGAATTCACTGTTCCTTTTGTGACATCACAAGAAGAAAATGAACACAGGGTTTATTCGACAATAAATGAAGGTAAAATTAAATGTATATTACATTGTTTAAACCAGGGCCGCGTAGTTTGGCTTTCAATGGAGCCGAAGTCGGGAATGCGGACTTTTTATTGTGGTAAAAGTACTACTACGGAACTCATTGCAGAAACCCGAAAAAAGTCTTATATATTCCAAAGTTTTTGATATCAAATTTTTTCGGAGTCGGAGTCAAAATTTTTACAACCCGGATCCGGAGTCGATTGTGAATTTTCTCCGACCTGGTTTGCATTGGACTAAAATTATGTCGAAACCGAATGATTTACTATTCCGAATACATCTGTAATCTTATTTCTTCAGATTGATTTATAAATTGAGTCACTTTTAACATAATATGCATTTACACATATTAATGTAGATTTATAATAAAAAAACAGAAGGTTTTAGGATGGCTAGTACCAACGACAACAACGAGTTAAATAAAGGCTGTAAATTTTCACTGTGTGCCAATGTGCAGCAGTTTTTTCACTTTTTCTCCAAAATTTACAACTACTTCATTCTTTCAGATGAAATTGAACTCATCATAGACAACGTGCAACGTGACGATGCCGGTTACTACTTATGCGTCGCCTCCAATTCACAAGGGGAAGCAAGTTCCATGGCTGAACTATCGGTGAAGGCTTTTTAGCAGAACAAGAGACTATGACGTCACGGTGACGTCACATTCCGGTTACGTCATCATTTCCAAAATGCACTTCACTGAAAACAACATTTCGTGTATATAAACTTAGTTATCACTGTACTCGAAGCTTCTTGTTATGTGCCTGAAAAGCACAGTGGGCCATGCCGAAGAGTTGCAAACTAAAGTTGGACGTCGATTCGACTCACGGACCCACAAGGGTCCACACTCACAGCATGAATTTAAAAGGATTCATGCAATATTATTCATAAATCCGAGGATGTCGGGCTGACGGCCCAAAATTTGCGATCGTAATCGTCTCATTGGCTCCCCCTAGCGATTATATTTATCGATTTTCAGTAATTAATATCAAAACGTTTTGTCAGTTTATCTTTATTTTTTTTAAGTTATTTTCTTTCAATTTTTCCTGTCGCTGAAATTTTATTCTGTAAATAAAGAAACGATGCAAATATGAGCGATTCTTATATTATTAATGTTGAGCCATCTGGTGTAATTGGACACGTAGTGGACATAACGATCGTTTCAATATTATGTTGTTCTTGTTCTTTGACACGTTTTTAAAAAGTCGCTTTTCTCTTCGAATACTAGACCAATTGCTTTGAAATTTTCAGTGGTTAAAGATAAAAATTTTCTCCAGAAGGCTAATATTTGTTTTTTCGCTATGACGTCATCAAAATTATGTGACTCTACGTGTCCATATATTTGAGCATAGCTCTCTTGTCTTAGTGCTTTTTATGTGTCGTTCAAATTTAGGGAGTGGTAAATATTTTCGTTATTAGTAATAAAACTATTTGTAAATTATATAAATGTGTTATGTATTTAATTGATCATCTTCATAAAAAATACTTTCTGAATTTTTTTCGGGGGGTGTTCACCCCCTATCCCGACCAAACATTACAGATTTATATTGAGTGCTGTGCTGTCATATTATGGAGAAGTTAGGTATGGGGATGGATATATGGACCCAACCGCCATTTGAATGACTTCCTCCGTATAGGAATATTTGGCTGCCATATAGACAGTAAGCAGGTTGGGAATAGTGATGGATATAAAATGGCCGCCTCCGTTGAGGGCTACTGAACTGCCACAATCAAAGGGCCTCCTTCTAGAGAGGGGGTTCCCACACCGCGGGCCAAATCCGTCCCGCGTAACGATTTAAAATGGCCCGCCGAGCTTAAGTGAAATTTTGAAACATAGTAAACTAGTGAAACACAGTAGTAAACTATTCGAATCGTTTCAGAGTAACATTTCGAATTGCCGCCATCTTTTTTTTCCTTCTCGCCAAAGGTCGAATTCCTCATTTTTTTTATTGAAGCCATATTTTTTCAACGCAATTCTGACATATGACTATTTTCTGTTGTGAGTTATTGATAAAAACGTGTTTTCATTGTGTGTGAACGCTCAGCAATCTGTCTGAGTGATGTATTCTATGTTTTCAGTAATTAATTTGTTCACAGGACCAATTACAATAAAATTTGTCGCGTACAATTACATATATATATCCCAAGTATTCGAGATTCGATTTTGAAATCATCAGGTATTCGGAAATGCCCAGCCCTAAACAGCTACAATAATTTAGCAAAACATTCCATAGATCCATTCTGTGTCCAAAAAAGTGGAATATATACCTGATAAAAATTATTCAAAACTCAACACGTCGCGGATGGATACCTCGAAACCGAGTAATGGAAATATACTTCCCCTAACTGTTAAACATTGACAATACCAGATCGTTGTCGCAATGTATCATTACTGGTTTCCTATTATAAGTTGAGTTTGAGTGTTTATTATTTGTTGAGTTTGTAATGTTGAGCGTGACATTTTGAGACAAATCTTAGAGCAATGATAATCCTTATTGCGCTATTCGGACACTGGTAGAAAGAAATGTAGGGAAGACAAGAGCATATCTTTGAGTTGAGCTATTCTGTTACCGTCTGGGCTTTCCGTCTACTCATGTATCAAAATAAAAAATTGAGCAATAAGAAATCAGCGAGCCGTATCTGTCCTTTATTAGATTTTGAGTACTAGATTTTAGTGCTTCGTGTTCGCTTTTTTTTATATAAACAAGTGCCGCTTTACATTATACAAAGTTATCAAGTCAGACGCAGATAGTGAACGCTCATATATTTTTCATATGACGTTTTAGTCGCTCAATACAGGCAGACACTGATCAGTAATGGATTGTTTTAGAGCAGGGGTGGGCAGCCTTTTTCGGCTCGCGTGCCAAAATCGACTAAATTTAGCGACAAAATTCTTCCGCGTTCCGACCAATATTAAAAACAATGCTTTGCTACTGTCAAAGCAAAAAACTTTACAGACAGATCCACTATTCGGTAAAATGTCAGTCCGGCAAATAGATTTGATTACTTTTCTTATTCTATATTAGTGAGACTTCTGCTGCTGCATTACCGCTGATAGACAAATAACATTGGTTTTATATTTTATAACTCCCAGAGAATACTACTGGTTTCATCTTTCAGGCTACTCCTATTACGAGACTCAATGAAGTTCATAACTGAGAACAGAGATATACAAGCATATGTAGATGAAAACATACATGAGTAATGCAGTTGCAAAGTTTTTAGGACACAAAACATTCTCGGCAATGGCATACCAATCACGCAATAGTTCGTTTTCTGCACTTCTCTCTGGTATTCCCTTCCCTACTCCCTTATATTTCTTTCGAAATCCATTTATAAAAGTAAGGTAGCAAGTAACTCTAACCAACATGAGCTATACTTCATAAATCAGGCAGAAATGAAGAAAAAGGGTGAACTATATTACTACATTACGTAAGAAATTTCTCGGGAACTCACTCGTTTGTTACGTCATGATATATTTCTTTGTAGCCATGTGTCATTAAAAGACAAAAAGATTTGAAATAAATAACGGATTGTTAACAAACGATAATGAATAAACGAACACCGAGTTTCATCAGATAATTTAGTCTTGGAAATTTTTTATCTGAAGGAGAATGATCTTGTTTTCAAGGCCTCGCTCGCGTGCCGAATAAATAGGCTCGCGTGCCAATTTTGGCACGCGTGCCAGGGGTTGCCCACCCCTGGAAAATGTTGCCGATTTGAAAGTGTATTTGCCCAGTAATATACCTCGGGGACGCATTGTTCATGGCCGAATGTTCCACCAATACCAGTTATAGGTTGAGATTATCTTATATCAACTTCTGTCGCAATCGACATGTATGTTTCCTCCGAAAAATCTCTCGATTTCCTAAAAGTCGAAGAAACAGGGGAACCAATGAAGTGGACGAATATGTAGAAAACGAAATAAAGACTTTCTGTGATGAGTGCTGCCAGGGTCGTTCTGTCTTAGAGGGAATAAAACTATGTGAATGTGATGCTGTTTTTTCGCGTTTTTCTAGGATGATGTATGTGTTTTAGGCTTCATTTTATCACCGTACAGCTAGCTGTTCTCCTGTTTTATGTCTCAAGTAAATTGACCTTTACTTTCTTCTGAGTGAGTAGCCTTTCTTTGTGCAATTGGTCTTAAAACCGCCAGTGACTGTGAATGAAATTTCGAATTGAGTGATTTTATTTTGGAGTCTTGTTGAGAGCAAAAAATAATTAAGATTGATCAATGTGGTTGATATTTTGATTATAATCATACGGACAATTATTTTTATTTAACGCTTAATCACGCCTTTCGATCCAAACAAGGCCGAACCGTCGAGCATAAGTTAACTATGCTCTTTTCCAGATACTCCTGTTGTATTTGTACCTAAAATTATGGCCTAACCTTAACCTGGTACACATACTATGTCCCGGTGTCCACCATCTTGGTTCACATACTGCGGGATTACCCTTTTCTATTCAATACATAGTTACACCTACGACCTCTGTGTACGTCATAAAAAAACTAGCGAGCCGGATCCAACTGTCTGCCTAATACAACTCTTTCATTGGTTACTGAATATGTTTTGCGTTTGCTCGCTTGTTATCTGAGTAAAGTTCCGCTTCACAAGAATAGGTTATCAAGTCAGTAGTTCTCGAACTGTGAGATTTAGGAAATTGTCTTTTGCTTAAATATTACTTCCCATTCGCGCGCTTTTGCGACATAAAATGATACTGTAGAAGAGTGGTTTTCAAACTGCGGGGTGCGCCCCAAAAGGGGTCAAAGACATTTTTTGAGGAGGCATGAAGCTAATCCAAAACAAAAATATTTGTTAGGTTGGATTTTCGTCGCCTTATTTTGAATATTTGTATTTACATTCATTTCATTATTTACTTTCCATCCACCTATTTTCAACGTATATGTCGACTATACCATATTTTTGTCTAAGTATCTGTTATTTGTAGCTTATAGTTAGCTTTGAGGCAGGGCGCGAGACTTGACAAATCCTTAAAAGGGGTGCGGTAAAAAGTTTGAGAACCAATGCTGTAGTGTAGAATAGGCTTGCACGTAATTGACAAAAATCAATTCCGTAATTACGGCAAAATCGATTACGTAATGACCCCGTAATTGCGATATTTTTTCACACATCATAACCTATCATAACAACCAATTGAATCCACTTCATTTTCGATTGGGACATCGAGTTTGGGTTTTCATATTCCTGGCAGTACTACACGCCGGCGACAGATGTTAAGACAAGAGTGAATTCAAATTAATTTTATTCTGATTTTTATCTTTTGTGCTAGCTTTGATTTCCTTTATCACCTTCGCAAATTAACCGTCCCAATTTTATGCGATCAATTTTATCATTACCGACACTGGTATACGGATATTTATGAAACGATAGTTGACTTTTTTAAAATCGTATTAAAAATAAATGTCGGGTTTCCAATTTATCAATGCCACGACGAGCGTATTCTCTCGTTTGATTAAACTTGCGCTTGCCTCGCGACGAAGACTTGTTATTGCACCGTTTTTAACATTATTCGACTTTACTACCTAGTCAGCATTTTATAATAATCATTGATGCCGACTTATTGACGTTATTCCGATTACCAATTCCGAAAATTCCAATTCCGAAAATGGTTCTCGCACAGAATAAACACACTGGCTCATACTTGATATTTGATAGTAGTTAAATTGAGAATATTGAACTGTTGAAACAAAAAAACGATTGTCGAAATTCTTAAATCTCGTTGCCTTGGTTAAATATAATCCAATGATCAGGACATTTTCAATTAAATACTGCACAAAGATAGTTATACCTTAAACATTTAGGCTACAATTTAGCTTTATTTTTTTAAATTTCAATCATGCATTGTGGTGGAGAAATCCCATTATTTAAATACGGGTAACTATAAAAATAGAATAGGATTCTCGATTCGATTCAAGTATTCTAAAACAGTGGTTCCCAACCGCCGGTCCGCGGACCGTCAACGGTCCGCAAAGGATTTTTACCGGATCGTGGGAAATCCCGTCATATTGTTGTTTCTCTGCCGTCTCAATCGCTTTACCGATGCCGAAAAGACGAAGTTGCGTTGGTTCATTACGCAATTTCTTTCCCGTCGTCATATTGCTGTTTGATAAGCGCGACATTAATTATCACGGTGACGTATTGGCAAGAGAGAGAAAAGGGAGAAAAACGGCTGCAAATACCGAAGCTCTAACTTCTTCTACTTTTTAAACTTTCACTTTTTACAATCGACGGAATTGACTGCTTTGAAGAGAGCTCGTTTCAATCGTGAAAGTGCTCGACCAATATTTACGACTTTACGTAATTCGTAACTTCCCTTCCGTAACTCGAAATAATTCCGTAATTCCGTAAATCTGTAAATTACGTGCAAGCCTAGTGTAGAAGTTCGGTTGTTCAAAATAACATAACCGAAAGAGGCT